CTTGAGCAAATTAACCCTTATTTTTATGCGGACGACCAAAAAAAACAAAAAATTATGCGTAGTTAAGTTCCTTTTACAAAGTCAACAACGTTTATATTCAATGATGTTTGTTTTAGGCATTACATTTAAAAAAAAAAAGAATTAGTGCTTTTAGATGAATTTTAGCCTTAAAAATACAAAAATTCAAATATATACATTTAGGTTTTAAGTCAGTCAAATTTTAATTTATAGATATGAAAATATTTAGATGATACGTGTATAATTTTGATTGAATCTTATCATACCGTCCAAAGAAATAAGAGTAAGTAAATTTCATACTCATGCAACTATGTCTAAAATAACCATACTTGATTCATTTTGAAGATAAAATAACCATAATCGGCCGACAAAAAAAAACAAAAACCATAATCGTTATAAAGTTTGGTTTAGACTGAGTTCAATAGAAAATAACTAAGAAGGCAAGCTAAACCACGGTTCAGAATGTTTTTAGGATGTTGAACCGGTTTAGGGTAATCAGTTAGCTGTTTAAACAGACTTTCGAGGACGAGTAAAAAAGCTCTCTCTCTCTCTAAATTCACTTAATTACTTGTTCTTGTCACTTGTTCGGGAAAATGCTTGGAGATTGATGATCGGGAAAATGTACGAATTTCTTCATGCCTCAGGTTCGAGAGTTTCAATGTTCATGTTCTTCTATAACCATAGAGACAGAGATAGGTTTCTGAAGATTTCAGTAGTTCTTGTGCTGAAACACCATTGGATTAAAATCTTTTTACTACCAAGAATATATTGATCCAAAAATCTTAAATAAAAAATCCCTTTAAAGAATTAAAAGATCAATACTCTTTCAAAATTTGACTACTCTCACGAGATCAATAAGTAAAAGAGGAAAGAAAACACAAAGTGTTTTTGCATAGACGAAATCAAACTAAATAAATGTAAAAAGAATAGATGGTGCCTAGGTTTCTTGTTCATCAAGAAACAGAAAATCTTGTTTTGTGAGCATTCTTCAAGAAGAGTTTCGAACCTTGTATGGTTTCACTTTCGAGCAACGTTGAAAGTAACGTAGGGCATCATCACCAGTAAGAACTTTCCAGCTTGGGTGTTTGTTTGCCATTGAGAAAGTCATCTTCTCAAGAAGATGATTCTTGAAATAGGTCTTCACGTAACCCACCTTGCCGGTTTGAAAACGATCTAGCGACGGAAGCTCAAAAGAGAACCACCCAAGATCTTCTTCCGTATCTATCACAGTGAAGAGAGCCTCCCAGTCTTTGTACACGACATACCATAGAACTCTCATCTTCTTCATCTTGTCGTGGAAGTTCGGGTCGCTCAATCTGAACTCCAACTCAAACGGATTATCAACACCAAAGGAGAGATCTTTTCCACACTTCTCGATGGTCATGTTGTATGATTCTCTCGTAAGACTGACGAAGAATTTGAGATCCGAGAATGAGAGAAAGATCTTCTCCGGTTGTCCCGTACGGCATTTGACGTCTTCTTGCTTGGCCGACAATATCCGTTTGCTGGTGGCACTCTCATTCACAAACACCAATAAATTAGGATGGTATTCCTGTAGCATGTTCCTCCATAAGATCTCTGTTGAGAATACTTCACACCAAGTCTTCGACACACAAGAAGCAATCGCCACGGACTCCGGATCCAAGAATCGATTATCAATAAGAACGAGTACTTCCCTAGGCGGTGGAGTACCGGAAATCATTGTTTTTTCTGTCACCGTCGTCGTCTTCAGAGACGGCGGAGCCGATACTGCTACGTCGGAGGACGACACGAACTCAGTTCTCCTCATCATATCTCCAAGAATCAAGAAGATAGTGTTGTAGAAGAAATGTTTTTATTATTCAGCAACTCTTAACGAATTATTTAAGCGTATTAACTTGGGCCGAGATTGGGCCCATCATTTAAGTTTATTCGGTTAGTGTTGTTTTGGAAATGGAGAAATTTTATAAAATACACTTTATGATTTAAATGTTGAAAAGAACCACGTTTTTTTTTTCTTTCTGAAAATTAATTTCTTGCTCATGTAATTAGACAACTGTATCCTTTATTAGAATCTTGAATTTATATCTTGCAAAAATAATTAGTCGTAGATGGTATTTTTTTCTTAATCGATCATAAAAAAATCCTTAATCCCCCCATTCAAAAGTCAAAACCTGGTGAATTGGCTTTGAACCACAATGATTAAATAAAGAGTTTATATTTTGGGACGATTTCAAAAATATCAATAATTAAGATTTTTTAAAATTTTAAGTTTCAAAATCTTAAACCCTGAAAAAAGTTGTGATCCTTTACAAACTATACACCATTACAAACTATACACCCTAAAAACTAAAGCGTAATATAATATAGTTAACCCAATTTTAATGATATTTCGAGTAAATGATATATTTTAGTGGTATTTTTAAAATGTGACATTTTTGAAAAATAGTTTTTCAAAAATATTTCTTAAAATTTCTCTTATGTTTTTCTTAGGCTGCAAAATTGTAGAAACTTATTGGAGAAACTAATACTGTTTGTGAGGTACTCATACTGTTGAACTGAATCATTCTGATTAAACATTTCTGAGGAAAGATCCACAGTTTTTAGGTTAACTATATACGTAGTGTCAGTGAGTGTGAGTGTGAGTGTTTCAAACGAAAATTAATAATTATTATTTTCTTTCTTAAAAGAATTCTAATAATGATTCTTCGTGATCGATGGTGGTTGGATCTGCTGAAATTCCACTTAACCGTCTTCTTGGTTCGATTTCAACTAAGGTTTGGTTTTGTTCTCGTTACTTTTATATGGGTTTGTTTAATTATAATCTCTTTTGGGCATCCAAAAACTGGGCCTCGAAAAATAGGCTTTGTATGAAACTCTTTGGTCTCATGTGAAAATCTTTTAGC